TCCTAATTTAAAATTTAAGATATTTTAATTTTTTTCTAATATAATTTTATTAAAATGACAATTTTAGAATTTTTTTTCACCTAATTTTTTTGCAATACAACTTAATATTCCCTTACCATTCTATAAATAAATTATTAATTAATTTTTATTTATTTAATCCAATTAGCTAGGCCAACTTAATCTAAATCGTCTAGCGTAATTCCTTTTTTAGTCTTTCCTAAACCCAATTCAACAATCTGAATTTAATAAGCCAATTACCATTCGTATTAACAGTATGTATTTATTAGAACTAGGCGTTATTTGGTTATATATAAAATGTATTTATTTATTTGAGATGTTTTAAATTTTTATTATTTTTGCTAAAAAAAAACTAAATTCTACATATCTAATATTTAATAAAAAAATTCGTATAGCTGCGTGAGTAGAGGAACAGGGGACATTTTTTTACCCCTCATCTAAAATTTTCGTGAAAATCCCCACACCCGCCATTAATGGGAATGGGAGGGATCCTGTCTCGTGGGAACCCTTTCCATCCCTACCACCGCCGGATAGTAACTTTAGAATCCCTTCATCTCGGCTGCGCATTTGACTTGAGATGCCTCGCTTTCTTCCTTAATTTCTCAAGATTTGCTGTCGGTTTTTTCTCAACCCCAGCGAAGTGTTTGCTTTGTGCGCTTGAGATCGCGCTGGAGCTGCTCGATAAACACGATGCCCTTGTGGACATGGATCCCTGGGATTTGCCTCTTTTTTTAAGATCATCACCTTTCGGAAATAAATTCATCCATACAACGGAGCCAAACACAAATCCAATCAGATTATTTCTAAATTTAAATCTTAGATCACTCAGTCGTTGAGATATTCATCAAATTTGAACTAAATTAGCAACTAGATCTATAAGCAACGAGTACTAGAAATAACATGCAGATAATGCCACGACCTTGAGTTTCATGAGTTCATGGCAGCTAGGTTCGACGGTGACAAAGCTCAGCTTATGCGGTCGAACCTCCTTAGAGGGAATATCACTGGTGAGATACGAAGAGGATGATTTCGATCCAATTGAAGCCACGCTCAAGCCCTCTTCACTGTTCTTTCTGTCCTCTGACGTCTCGGCACCGGAATTCAACCTGCACAAACAAGCGAAATCATGGTCGGACACAGAAATCAAAAGGGAAAAACAAGATCGGGTATTTACTTGAGAGGAGATAGAGAAAGAGGTGTGGTGGAGAGGAAGAGGAGAGCTGAATCAACGGGGCGCTCTAGAGGAGACGGAAACAAAGGAGCCATCTTCGAATTGCTGTCCATGTGGTGGGTTTATTTATTTTTTGAATTTCTTTCGTTACTTTTATCCTTATTTTTTTTTATCTATTTAATATTTAAATTATTTATTACTCCTCTGTTTCATTTTCATTAGAGTTAAACTGATTTTTTTTTAATTTTTAAATTTAAATTTAAATTTAAATTTAATAATTTATATGAATAATAATTTAAAATTTTTTTCTTACATGACATGAAATCTTGTTAAATACTTTTATTAATAAAAAGTAATTTTTATTTACATAATTTGTTGAGGAGCATTTGTTTTGAAGTTTCAAAAATATCTACTAATTATTAATTGTAATTAAATAGATTAAATATTTTGAATTGTAAATAT